ATTAAGATAAGACGGAGAATAGGATAGCAGATGAACAAGGAGGCTTTAGGAAAGGTAGGGGGTGTGGGACCAGGGTTTACAGTGAAACATATAAGTGAACAGTATTTAGATAAGGTTTTAAGAGTCTTTGTGGCATTTATGGATTTGGAAAAGGCGTATGACAGGGTGGATAGGGGGGCAATGTGGCAGATGTTGCAAGTTATGGTGTAGGAGGTAGGTTACTGAAGCAGTGAAGAGTTTTTACGAGGATAATGAGGCTCAAGTTAGAGTATGTAGAAAGAGGAAATTTTTTCCCCGTAAAAAGTAGGCCCTTTGACAAGGATGTGTGATGTCACCGTGGTTGTTTAATATATTTTATAGATTGGGTTGTAAGAGAAGTAAATGCGATGGTCTTGGCAAGAGGCGGGAGTTAAAAGATAAAGAATCACACACAAAGGTGGGAGTTGTCCCCAGCTGCTCTTTGCTGATGACACTGTTTCTCTTGGGGGATTCTGAAGAGAAGTTGCGAGATTAGTGGATGAATTTGGTAGGGTGTGCAAAAGAAGAAAATTAAAGGTGAATACAGGAAAGAGTAAGGTTATGAGGATAACAAAAAGATTAGGTGATGAAAGATTTTAATATCAAAATTGGAGGGAGAGAGTATGGAGGAGGGGAACGTATTCAGATATTTGGAGTGGACGTGTCAGCGGATGGGTCATGAAAGATGAGGTGAATCATAGAATTGATGAGGGAAAAAGAGTGAGTGGTGCACTTAGGAGTCTGTGGAAACAAAGAACTTGTCCTTGAGGCAAAGAGGGGAATGTATGAGAGTATAAATTTTACCAACGCTCTTATATGGGTGTTTAAGCGTGGGTGATGAATGTTGCAGCGAGGAGAAGGCTGGAGGCAGTGGAGATGTCATGTCTGAGGGCAATGTGTGGTGTGAATATAATGCAGAGAAATTTGTAGTTTGGGAAGTTAGGAGGAGGTGCAGGATTACCAAAACTGTTGTCCAGAGGGCTGAGGAAGGGTTGTTGAGGTGGTTCGGACATGTAGAGAGAATGGAGCGAAACAGAATGACTTCAAGAGTGTATCAGTCTGTAGTTTGGGAAAGGGAAAGGGGGGGTAGGGGGTCGGCCTAGGAAGGGTTTGGAGGGAGGGGGTAAAGGAGGTTTTGTGTGCGAGGGGCTTGGAAATTCCAGCAGGGAAAGCGTGAGCGTGTTTGTAGGAGTGAATGGAGACAAATGGTTTTTAATACTTGACGTGCTGTTGGAGTGTGAGCAAAGTAACATTTATGAAGGGGTTCAGGGAAACCGGCAGGCCGGACTTGAGTCCTGGAGATGGGAAGTACAGTGCCTGCACTCTGAAGGAGGGGTGTTAATGTTGCAGTTTAAAAACTGTAGTGTAAAGCACCCTTCTGGCAAGACAGTGATGGAGTGAATGATGGTGAAAGTTTTTCTTTTTCGGGCCACCCTGCCTTGGTGGGCCACCCTGCCTTGGTGGGCCACCCTGCCTTGGTGGGCCACCCTGCCTTGGTGGGCCACCCTGCCTTGGTGGGCCACCCTGCCTTGTGGGCCACCCTGCCTTGGTGGGCCACCCTGCCTTGGTGGGCCACCCTGCCTTGGTGGGCCACCCTGCCTTGGTGGGCCACCCTGCCATGGTGGGCCACCCTGCCTTGGTGGGCCACCCTGCCTTGGTGGGCCACCCTGCCTTGGTGGCCACCCTGCCTTGGTGGCCACCCTGCCTTGGTGGGAATCGGCCAGTGTGATAATATTATATAATATAATATCTGGAAAAAATTCTTTTGTTGTTAATTAATATCTGGAAAAAATTCTTTTGTTATTAATTAATATCTGGAAAAAATTCTTTTGTTATTAATTAATATCTGGAAAAAATTCTTTTATTAATTAATATCTGGGAATTTTTTTTTATTAATATCTGGGAAAAAATTCTTTTGTTATTAATTAATATTTGGAAAAAAATCTTTTGTTAATATCTAAAAAAAAATATTTTGTTATTAATATCTGAAAAAAAATACTATTTTGTTATTAATATCTGGAAAAAATTCTTTTGTTATTAATTAATATCTGGAAAAAATTCTTTTGTTATTAATTAATATCTGAAAAAAATTCTTTTGTTATTAATTAATATTTGGAAAAAATTCTTTTGTTATTAATTAATATCTGGAAAAAATTCTTTTGTTATTAATTAATATCTGGAAAAAATTCTTTTGTTATTAATTAATATCTGGAAAAAAATCTTTTGTTATTAATTAACATCTGGAAAAAATTCTTTCGTTATTAAGTAATATCTGGAAAAAATTCTTTTGTTATTAATTAATATCTGGAAAAAATTCTTTTGTTATTAATTAATATCTGAAAAAAATTCTTTTGTTATTAATTAATATTTGGAAAAAATTCTTTTGTTATTAATTAATATCTGGAAAAAATTCTTTTGTTATTAATTAATATCTGGAAAAAAATCTTTTGTTATTAATTAACATCTGGAAAAAATTCTTTCGTTATTAAGTAATATCTGGAAAAAAATCTTTTGTTATTAATTAATATCTGGAAAAATTATTAATTAATATCTGGGAAAAAATTCTTTTGTTTTTAATTAATATCTGGAAAAAAATCTTTTGTTATTAAAAATTAAGAAGATATTTTAAGTTTTATTAAGAATGTGAAAGGACAGAATTTTTTCAAGCTTAATTAATGAAGATTTTTTTTAAGATATTAAAAGAATACTTTTCATCAGATATTTATTAAAATAATATTTTTCGTAAGATAGTTATCAACAAGAATATTTTTCGTCAGATATTTATTAACAAAAGAATATTTTTCGTCAGATCTTTATTAACAAAAGAATATTTTTCGTCAGATATTTATTAACAAAAGAATATTTTCCGTCAGATATTTATTAACAAAAGAATATTTTTTGTCAGATATTTATTAACAAAAGAATATTTTTCTTCAGATATTTATTAAAGAATATTTTTCGTCAGATATTTATTAACAAAAGAATATTTTTCGTCAGATATTTATTAACAAAAGAATATTTTTTGTCAGATATTTATTAACAAAAGAATATTTTTCGTCAGATGTTTATTAAAGAATATTTTTCGTCAGATATTTATTAACAAAAGAATATTTTTTGTCAGATATTTATTAACAAAAGAATATTTTTCGTCAGATGTTTATTAAAGAATATTTTTCGTCAGATATTTCTTAACAAAAGAATATTTTTCGTCAGATATTTATTAACGAAAGGATATTTTTCGTCAGATATTTATTAACAAAAGAATATTTTTCGTCAGATATTTATTAACAAAAGAATATTTTTCGTCAGATATTAACAAAAGAATATTTTTCGTCAGATATTTATTAAAAGAATATTTTTCGTCAGATATTTATTAACAAAAGAATATTTTTCGTCAGATGTTAACAAAAGAATATTTTTCGTCAGATATTTATTAACAAAAGAATATTTTTCGTCAGATATTTATTAACAAAAGAATATTTTCCGTCAGATATTTATTAACAAAAGAATATTTTTCGTCAGATATTTATTAAAGAATATTTTTCGTCAGATATTTTTTAAAGAATATTTTTCGTCTGATATTTATTAACAAAAGAATATTTTTCTTCAGATAATAAATATGTGAAGAAAAATATTCTTTTGTTCATAAATATCTGACGAAAAACAGTCAGATATTTATTAACAAAAGAATATTTTTCGTCAGATGTTAACAAAAGAATATTTTTCGTCAGATATTTATTAACAAAAGAATATTTTTCGTCAGTTATTTATTAAAAGAAAAATTTTCGTCCGATATTTATTAACAAGAGAATATTTTTCTTCAGATATTTATTACAAAAGAATAATTTTCGTCAGATATTTCTTAACAAAAGAATATTTTTCGTCAGATATTTATTAATGAAAGAATATTTTTCGTCAGATATTTATTAACAAAAGAATATATTTCGTCAGATATTTATTAACAAAAGAATATTTTTCGTCAGATATTTATTAACAAAAGAATATTTTTCGTCAGATATTAACAAAAGAATATTTTTCATCAGATATTTATTAACAAAAGAATATTTTTCGTTAGATATTTATTAAAAGAATATTTTTCTTCAGATATTAACAAAAGAATATTTTCCGTCAGATATTTATTAACAAAAGAATATTTTTCTTCAGATGTTAACAAAAAAATATTTTTCGTCGGATATTAACAAAAGAATATTTTTCGTCGGATATTTATTAACAAAAGAATATTTTTCGTCGGATATTTATTAACAAAAGAATATTTTTTTTTCAGATATTTATTAACAAAAGAATATTTTTCGTCAGATATTTATTAACAAAAGAATATTTTTCGTCAGATATTAACAAAAGAATATTTTTCGTCAGATATTTATTAATAACAAAAGAATTATATCATTAATAATTTATAAAGTGTGATCCACTGTTTATAACATTTTTATTAAAGTTTGGATCAATTCTTATTAAAGTTTGGATCAATTCTTATTAAAGTTTGGATCAATTCTTATTAAAGTTTGGATCAATTTTTATTGAAGTTTGGATCAATTCTAATTAAAGTTTGGATAAATTCTAATTAAAGTTTGGATCAATTCTTATTAAAGTTTGGATCAATTCCTTCATCATCCAATAAAAATCTGGATTAATATTTTTTTTGTCAATTGTGAAATCTGGGTTAATCTTCCATTATTAGCGATGTCGAGAATATTTCCTTCATTCTTAAGTAAATCTGAACTTATCCTGCTATTCTTAAGAAGGTTTGGACAACTATTTCTTCCACTTATAAGAAATCCTTAACAAACCTTTCTTAAATTTTTTACCAAAATCTGGACTAATTGGTAAATCCTGGACAATTCCTCTTCCTATTCTATATAAATCCTGGACGGATTCTTCTTTCATTCCTAATTCGGGATTAATTATTTTTTCCATTCTTATAATGCGTGGATTTAATCACTCATGAGGATTTATTCTGACAGAATGACTCGGGAAAGTGACATGAAGGAAGCAGCCGAGGCAGCAGCCGGCGAGTCTTCCTCAGCCATGGAGAAGCTTCAGAATCTTCTGTTGACACATGGGTACAACGGTATCATGCGCTTTGGCAGGTGGGTACAGAACCTTCTGTTCGTAGCTACATTTGGCAGGTGGGTACAGAACCTTCTGTTCGTAGCTACATTTGGCAGGTGGGTACAGAACCTTCTGTTCGTAGCTACATTTGGCAGGTGGGTACAGAACCTTCTGTTAGTTCGTAGCTACATTTGGCAGGTGGGCTCAGAACCTTCTGTTAGTTCGTAGCTACATTTGGCAGGTGGGTACAGAACCTTCTGTTAGTTCGTAGCTACATTTGGCAGGTGGGTACAGAACCTTCTGTTAGTTCGTAGCTACATTTGGCAGGTGGGCTCAGAACCTTCTGTTAGTTAAGAACATAAGAACGAAGGAACACTGCAGAAGGCCTACTGGCCCATGCGAGGCAGGTCCAAGTCTCCTACCGGCTTAAGCCAATGCACCCAACCTAGTCAGGTCGTAGCTACATTTGGCAGGTGGGTACAGAACCTTCTGTCAGTTCGTAGCTGCATTTGGCAGGTGGGCTCAGAACCTTCTGTTAGTTAGTAGGTACATCTGGCAGGTGGGTACAGAACCTTGTGTTAGTTCGTAGCTGCATTTGGCAGGTGGGTACAGAACCTTCTGTTAGTTCGTAGCTACATTTGGCAGGTGGGTACAGAACCTTCTGTTAGTTCGTAGGTACATTTGGCAGGTGGGTACAGAACCTTGTGTTAGTTCGTAGCTGCATTTGGCAGGTGGGTACAGAACCTTCTGTCAGTTCGTAGCTGCATTTGGCAGGTGGGCTCAGAACCTTCTGTTAGTTCGTAGGTATACTTGTCAGGTGGGTACAGAACCTTGTTTGTAGGTACATTTGGCAGGTGGGTACAGAACCTTCTGTTTGCAGGTACAACAGTAGCAAGCATTTTGGTAGATCTAAAGACAACGTTCTGTTGGCTAGCGGCTATAACGCTACCTTGTTCCATGCCAGGTGGGTCTTGAGTTCTGTTGGTTAACAGCCGCAACAGAAGAATTCGTCAGGCAGGTACTGGTACTCACCACCTGTGGTGTGAGTACCAGGTACTGGTACTCACATCACCTGTGGTGTGAGTACCAGCTACTGGTACTCACACCACACTACTCATCACTCTAATATGTTGGCAGGATAACTAACGCAACCCTTACGTTGAAGTCATAAGAAACCGCTAAATCCGAATGGGTTTTACAGCTTTAAACAGTTGAGAAGATGCAAGTAGAGAGGAACAAGAGATAAAATTTTTGAGTTATTGCATGTGTACAGTGTCAACTAGTGAAGCTATGACCAATACAATCGAAATAAAACCTAAAAAAAATATTTAAACTGAGTTTGACGTGGTTGTGGTGGTGGTACTACAGTCCTGTGGTAGTAGGTTGGTAGACAACAACCACCCAGGGAGGTACTACAGTCCTGTGGTAGTAGGTTGGTAGACAACAACCACCCAGGGAGGTACTACTGTCCTGTGGTAGTAGGTTGGTAGACAACAACCACCCAGGGAGGTACTACTGTCCTGTGGTAGTAGGTTGGTACACAACAACCACCCAGGGAGGTACTACAGTCCTGTGGTAGTAGGTTGGTAGACAACAACCACCCAGGGAGGTACTACTGTCCTGTGGTAGTAGGTTGGTAGACAACAACCACCCAGGGGGGTACTACAGTCCTGTGGTAGTAGGTTGGTAGACAACAACCACCCAGGGAGGTACTACAGTCCTGTGGTAGTAGGTTGGTAGACAACAACCACCCAGGGAGGTACTACAGTCCTGTGGTAGTAGGTTGGTAGACAACCACCCAGGGAGGTACTACAGTCCTGTGGTAGTAGGTTGGTAGACAACAACCACCCAGGGAGGTACTACAGTCCTGTGGTAGTAGGTTGGTAGACAACAACCACCCAGGGAGGTACTACAGTCCTGTGGTAGTAGGTTGGTAGACAACCACCCAGGGAGGTACTACAGTCCTGTGGTAGTAGGTTGGTAGACAACAACCACCCAGGAGGTACTACAGTCCTGTGGTAGTAGTTGGTAGACAACAACCACCCAGGAGGTACTACAGTCCTGTGGTAGTAGGTTGGTAGACAACCACCCAGGGAGGTACTACAGTCCTGTGGTAGTAGGTTTTGGTAGACAACCACCCAGGAGGTACTACAGTCCTGTGGTAGTAGGTTGGTAGACAACCACCCAGGGAGGTACTACAGTCCTGTGGTAGTAGGTTGGTAGACAACCACCCAGGGAGGTACTACAGTCCTGTGGTAGTAGGTTGGTAGACAACAACCACCCAGGGAGGTACTACAGTCCTGTGGTAGTAGGTTGGTAGACAACCACCCAGGGAGGTACTACCGTCCTGTGGTAGTAGGTTGGTAGACAACAACCACCCAGGGAGGTACTACAGTCCTGTGGTAGTAGGTTGGTAGACAACAACCACCCAGGGAGGTACTACCATCCTGTGGTAGTAGGTTGGTAGACAGCAACCACCCAGGGAGGTACTACCGTCCTGTGGTAGTAGGTTGGTAGACAACAACCACCCAGGGAGGTACTACCATCCTGTGGTAGTAGGTTGGTAACAACAACCACCCGGGGAGGTACTACCGTCCTGTGGTAGTAGGTTGGTAGACAACAACCACCCAGGGAGGTACTACAGTCCTGTGGTAGTAGGTTGGTAGACAACAACCACCCAGGGAGGTACTACTGTCCTGTGGTAGTAGGTTGGTAGACAACAACCACCCAGGAGGTACTACCATCCTGTGGTAGTAGGTTGGTAGACAGCAACCACCCAGGGAGGTACTACCGTCCTGTGGTAGTAGGTTGGTAGACAACAACCACCCAGGGAGGTACTACCATCCTGTGGTAGTAGTTGGTAGACAACAACCACCCAGGGAGGTACTACCGTCCTGTGGTAGTAGGTTGGTAGACAACAACCACCCAGGGAGGTACTACCATCCTGTGGTAGTAGGTTGGTAGACAACAACCACCCAGGAGGTACTACCGTCCTGTGGTAGTAGGTTGGTAGACAACAACCACCCAGGGAGGTACTACCATCCTGTGGTAGTAGGTTGGTAGACAACAACCACCCAGGGAGGTACTACCGTCCTGTGGTAGTAGGTTGGTAGACAACAACCACCCAGGAGGTACTACCATCCTGTGGTAGTAGGTTGGTAGACAACAACACCCAGGGAGGTACTACCGTCCTGTGGTAGTAGGTTGGTAGACAACAACCACCCAGGAGGTACTACCATCCTGTGGTAGTAGGTTGGTAGACAACAACCACCCAGGGAGGTACTACCGTCCTGTGGTATAGTAGGTAGACAGCAACCACCCAGGGAGGTACTACCGTCCTGTGGTAGTAGGTTGGTAGACAACAACCACCCAGGGAGGTACTACTGTCCTGTGGTAGTAGGTTGGTAGACAACAACCACCCAGGGAGGTACTACCGTCCTGTGTAGTAGGTTGGTAGACAACAACCACCCAGGGAGGTACTACTGTCCTGTGGTAGTAGGTTGGTAGACAACAACCACCCAGGGTGGTACTACCATCCTGTGGTAGTAGGTTGGTAGACAACAACCACCCAGGAGGTACTACTGTCCTGTGGTAGTAGGTTGGTAGACAACAACCACCCAGGGAGGTACTACCGTCCTGTGGTAGTAGGTTGGTAGACAACAACCACCCAGGGAGGTACTACTGTCCTGTGGTAGTAGGTTGGTAGACAACAACCACCCAGGGAGGTACTACTGTCCTGTGGTAGTAGTTGGTAGACAACAACCACCCAGGGAGGTACTATGTCCGTGGTAGTAGTTGGTAACAACAACCACCCAGGAGGTACTACTGTCCTGTGGTAGTAGGTTGGTAGACAACAACCACCCAGGGAGGTACTACCGTCCTGTGGTAGTAGGTTGGTAGACAACAACCACGCCAGGGAGGTACTACTGTCCTGTGGTAGTAGGTTGGTAGACAACAACCACCCAGGGAGGTACTACTGTCCTGTGGTAGTAGGTTGGCAGACAACAACCACCCAGGGAGGTACTACTGTCCTGTGGTAGTAGTTGGTAGACAACAACCACCCAGGGAGGTACTACTGTCCTGTGGTAGTAGGTTTGGTAGACAACAACCACCCAGGGAGGTACTACTGTCCTGTGGTAGTAGGTTGGTAGACAACAACCACCCAGGGAGGTACTACTGTCCTGTGGTAGTAGGTTGGTAGACAACAACCACCCAGGGAGGTACTACTGTCCTGTGGTAGTAGGTTGGTAGACAACAACCACCCAGGAGGTACTACCGTCCTGTGGTAGTAGGTTGGTAGACAACAACCACCCAGGGAGGTACTACTTCCTGTGGTAGTAGGTTGGTAGACAACAACCACCCAGGAGGTACTACTGTCCTGTGGTAGTAGGTTGGTAGACAACAACCACCCAGGGAGGTACTACCGTCCTGTGGTAGTAGGTTGGTAGACAACAACCACCCAGGGAGGTACTACTGTCCTGTGGTAGTAGGTTGGTAGACAACAACCACCCAGGGAGGTACTACTGTCCTGTGGTAGTAGGTTGGTAGACAACAACCACCCAGGGAGGTACTACTGTCCTGTGGTAGTAGGTTGGTAGACAACAACCACCCAGGGAGGTACTACTGTCCTGTGGTAGTAGGTTGGTAGACAACAACCACCCAGGGAGGTACTACAGTCCTGTGGTAGTAGGTTTGTAGACAACAACCACCCATGGAGGTACTACTGTCCTGTGGTAGTAGGTTGATAGACAGCAACCACCCAGTTAGGTACTACTGTCCTGTGGTAGTAGGTTGGTAGACAACAACCACCCAGGGAGGTACTACTGTCCTGTGGTAGTAGGTTGATAGACAGCAACCACCCAGGGAGGTACTACTGTCCTGTGGTAGTAGGTTGGTAGACAACAACCACCCAGGGAGGTACTACTGTCCTGTGGTAGTAGGTTGATAGACAGCAACCACCCAGGGAGGTACTACTGTCCTGTGGTAGTAGGTTGGCAGACAACAACCACCCAGGGAGGTACTACTGTCCTGTGGTAGT